GCTGGCGGTGGTGCCCGCCTGGGTGCCAGGGTGCTGGGTGTCAGGGTGCCAGAATGCTGGGTGCCAAGGTGCCGGGGTGCTGAGGTGCTGGGTGCCGGGGTGCCAGGGTGCTGAGACATCCCAGTGCCGTGTTAACCGTGCCGCTGGCTCTCTGCATGCCCGGGGCTTTGCGGCGGTGCCGGGCCGGACACTGACCCCGTCTCCCCGTCTCCGCAGGCTGTGCCTTCCTCACCTACTGCGCCCGTGACTCGGCCCTGAAGGCGCAGAGTGCCCTGCACGAGCAGAAGACGCTGCCTGGGGTGAGTGATGCTGGGGGGCTCGGGGCAAGCTGGAGGGGGGATGGTGACGCCTGCCTAGGCGCGCGGGCGCAGGAGCTGCTCCAGCGGCCGCAAACCAAAGCATTGATTTTCCTGCTGCCCACGTGCTGTTGCGCTTTCTGTGGGCTCCGACCTCCCGAGCTTAACAAAGTGAAAATAAATATTTAATTATTTGCCTAAATAAAAATCAATAGGGCCACCGGTTGGCTGGGGAAAGCGCTGGGGCCCGGGAATATCAATCCCTGCCTCGGGTGCATGGAGCTGATGGAGGGGGACGAGGTTGGCAGGGACGTGGTTTCCCGAGCCGCGCTCCCACCAGCTGTGGTGCTGCGCATCAGTAGGGTTAAGAGTTAACAGCCCGCTTCGGTATCCTGAAGGAGGTGCGGGGTCAGGCCCTGCCTGCGGGGCATGGGCTTGCCTGCGTCCCCTTCTCCTCACGCACACCCATGCGTGTACACGCGCGTGCATGAGGTGCTCACACCTCCGCGTGTGTGCCCGCCTGTGCTTGTGTGCACCCCTCCAGGCATCTGCACACCCCCTTGTGCCTTTGCACACCCCTATAGCTGTGCACACCCCTCCACACCCCTATAGCTGTGCACACCCCTATAGCTGTGCACACCCCTGTGCCTGTGCTCACCCCTATGGCTGTGCACACACCCCCACACCCCTATAGGTGTGCTCACCCCTATAGCTGTGCACACCCCTATACACCCCTATAGCTGTGCTCACCCCCCCCACCCCTATAGCTATGCACACCCCTGTGCCTGTGCTCACACCT